TCCTACAACACTATTGTATATATACTATGTGTCAGGTATTCTGCTAGGTGCTGCTGGGAGTAAAGGTATGAGCCAGACAGCCCCTTCCTCCAAAAGTTCAGAGTCTGCTGGGGGAGACAGGCTCATATACAAGCAAACCTATTAAAAGTCCCATTGTGACAAGAATTGTAAGTGATGCACAATGAGGTTATGGGGTAGTAAAGAACAGTTGTCACTAGAATATAGTGCAAGGCCCTGGATAACTCAACACTACACTTAGACAGAAAGTACCTGAGGTCTGGTGCCAACTCTGCTCTGAGCAGGACACACATTGCATAACCCTCTCTGGATTGCAGTCCTCACCTTTACCTCTGGAAAAGTTAGACTGCATGATTTCTATTAGTTCTAACTTTCCAACATTGTAGTTGAGCTTCTTGGAGGTCAATTTTTAAGCAATGAATTAAAAGACTTGAGGACCTGGAAACTGGGAGTATGTACTAAAGGCAAAGAAAGAATAGCATGAGCTGAGGCATTAGGCCCTGGTATCACCAATTCACCCCACAAAAAAACCTGCATTACCTACTATATGGGGATTTTGCTAATAATATAGAATATTCTAAGTGAACAAAAAGAAAATAAAAATGAATATAAACTTTTTAAATGTATGAAAACTTAAACAAAACATGAGTTTTTAACAAATATTTAGACTAACAGCTAATACGCTTATAACATTTAAATTAAATATAATGTAAAGCACATCTTACACCTCTAACAAATACACAGTACTGTAACACACAGCAGATGAAGAAATGTAGCTTTTGTTTATTTTTACTAATTTTATTTGTTTTTAAATAATTTGTTTTGCATACAGTTAAAGTATACAACACGATGTTATAAGATATATTTGTAGAGTAAAATGTTACTATAGTGGTATGAATTAACATATCCATCATTTCACATAGTTACCCATTCACCCCCACCACTACCATGGCAAGAATAGCTATAATCTACTCATTAAATAAAAATTCTGAATACGATACACTATTTTTAAGTATAGTTTTCAGTTGTACATTAGATCTTTCAACTTGTTCATCCTTCATATTTGCTACTTTTTATCCTTCGACCTACATCTTCCCATTTCTCCCCTCACCCCCACCCTGACCCTGGTAACCACTGTTTTATTTTCTATCTCTATATATTTGACCTTTTTTGGAAAAAAGATAGACTCTTCAATAAACAGTGCTGGGAAAACTGTATTTCCATGCAAAATAATAAAATTATATCTTTATCTTACACCATTCACAAAAAAGAACTCAAAATGGACAAAATATCTAAACATAAAATTTGAAAACACAAAACTCTTAGAAGAAAACGTTGGAGAAAATCTTCTTAACATTGGTTTTTGCAATGATTTCTTGGGTATCACACCAAAAGCTTAGGCTACAAAATGAAAAGGCAACCTACAGATTGAGTGAAAATATTTGCAAACCATATATCAGATAAGGGGGGTCTAACATCCAAGATTTAGAAAGAACTCATACAACTCAATAGCAAAAAAACATACAACCTGATTAAAAACTGGGCAAAGGACTTCAATAGACATTTCTCCAAAAATGACACAAAAATGGCCAACAAGTACATGAAAAGGTGCAATGCAAATCAAAACCATTATGAAATACCACCTCACACCTGTTAGGAGGGCCATTATCAAAAAGAACAGAGATGTAAGTATTAGTGAGGGTTTGGAGAAAAGAGAACTCTTGTATGCTGTTGGGGGGAATATAGATTGGTGTAGCCATTATAGAAAACAGTATGGAGCTTCATTAAAAATTTAACAATAGAACTACCATATGACTCAGCAATCCCTCTTCTGGGTGTATACCCAAAAGAAATGAAATCATCACCTCCTGAAGAAATAAATATCTGCACTCCCATATTCACTGCAACTTTATCCACAATAGATAGCCATGATATGGAAACAACCTAGGTGTCCATCAATAGAGAAATGGATAAAAAAATGTGGTATATATATACAACGGGATATTATTCAGCTTTCAAAAAGGAGGAGATCCTGTCACTTGTCACAACATGGACAGACCTAGAAGACATTATGCTAAGTAAAATAAGCCAGGCATGGAAAGAAAAATATTGCGTGATCTCATTTATATGTGGACTCTAAAAAAAAGTCAAACAAAACATAGCTTCTGTTTAAAAAAGAAGTCTGAATAATATCCATGAACCTTTCCCCATATTCGTGCTTGAAATTTATATATTAAAGGGGAATTCTTCTTTTACATATTCAGAAAAGGCTATATTAGAGAGACAGAGAAAGACAGAGAGGGAGGGAGACCAAGACTGGCAGATTGCAAGAAAGAACCAAAACTCTGGAAAACAAAAGACTTGAGTTGCTTGCAATGAAGGTGCCATATTCCAAATTGCTTACTGCAAGAGAAGAATTACTGAGCAGTGCACTCACACATACAGTCATCTGCTATCCGTCCAAATATATATAATACATAAGAACATACAGACATACATTTGACCATATGCAACCATTCCTACTAAAAACACAGTAGCATAATAAGAGCTACGAGAAACATAAGGATGAGTGAGAAACCATGTCTTGTTGCCTAAATGAGAAAATAAAGCTTATACTCTTTTAAGGGAAGTAGGAAAGCATCACTATAATATGGGGTCGGGGTGCCATGTGTGCCATAAATAGAAGGACAGGCAGTATAGCATGCTGGATGCGGACAACAGCCTCAGTTCAGAAACTTACTAGCCACAAAATCACAGAGGATGTCACCTCCTCTCTCTGAGCTTCCAATTTTCTATGGGGAAAAAAAAAAATGCTTCATCGGATTATATGAGAAGGTAATAAAATAATGAGAAAACACAGTGCCTGGCATATTGTACATGCTCAATAAGTGACAGAATGAGAGCAGAAGCAGTAACAGAGGTAGTAGAAATTTGATAGTCAATGAAAGATGTATGTGGAAACCCAGGGATGGAAGTGATTACTTCCGATCTGGGCCATACCTAGGGATTTTGGAGAAAGTGATACAAATAGAACTGTGACATGCAACAAAAGCGTGTGAGGCAGCATGTTGAGAAGGGGGAGCAAAGAGTTGTAAGCTGTGGAGTATGCAAACAAATCAGAGTTTGCTCCAGTGTTCCTAGAGAATAAGACAGACAGTGGGAGAACCACACAGAGCACAAGCAGAGCATCTCAAAGCAGGGAGAGTCATCCCTGGGGCTAACTCACTGTAATTCACAGCACCCGGAGTGAAGAAGTCTAAAGAAAGACCATTATATGCTTCTCTTCTCCTTGTCTCATATGTTCCATTCATTAGTGAACTAAATACACGACGTGTTCTAACCTAACGCACTGGGGTGTATCAACTGCCGTACCTTCTAAGACTTCCTCACCCTTTTCCTTCTGTGCATAACTGATCGTGTCTTTATTCCCTTCACATTAGAGGGAAGTCCATTTCGCTATCCCCCAAAGTAAGGAGACAAAATAACGATGACCCTATCAAGCAGACAAGGGGAAATGTTGAGAAAACAAATAAAGAAGTCACACGTGGCTTGCCTCATCTCTGTGAGGAGAGATTCTCTTCCAGATCCCATTCCCAAGCTCGGCAATCACTAAAGAATGATGGGCCAAAGAAAACCACCTCCACTAAGTCCTTGATTAATTTCAAAGGTGCAGTCTCCTTCAAGGGCAATAAAACTCCAAGCACTACAATGGAGATGAGTAGAGCACCACGGGCATCATTTACTGTTTTTGCAGAGCAGCTCTCTGATGGTCTTCCTGCCCTTTCTGGGGAAAGGGTACCCAAAGAGGCCCAGCCACAGCTCAGGCGTGTCCGCTGACACCAGGCCCTCCCTACCTCCCTGCCTGAGTGTTCAGTCATGTTACACATCTGGACTAGGCTTCTATCTTCAGTCCTAAAATACTAGTAGATGAGTAAAGTATTCACTGGGAGCAGGACAGGACTAGGGAGGAAGTGAAAGACTGAACTATATCACAGAGTGTGAAACAGTCTCATACAACACTGCTGAAACAAACATACTAATGTCATCCAAGAAACAACTGGAAACATCATGGACAGATTAAGATAATTTTAAAAGGTGGGACAGGGGCAGAAAACAGAAAAAAATGGGGTTGAATCTCCTTTCACTGTCTCTTCTCTCTTAGCTCAGAGAAGTCTAATGTTGTCCTGTTTCCTAGTTATGTTACTGTTTCATGGCTTTGAATGAGCTGCTGGCATTGACTGGTAAACATATGGAGCCTCTTCAACCAAAGAGTGTGTCAGCATTTGTACTGCCCGTGGAGTTCAGTGTGTGAGTGTGTATATACACATGCACACGAGACGCTGAGCTCACGTAGACCTTCAAATGCTACTTGCTGTAAACTGAATGTACCATTAATAAAACCCCTGAAACTAGGCTTCACTCAAATTTGTCTGTAAGTTTCAACAAGTGTAGACCTCACAGAGCTCTCTAGACAAATTTATCCTACAGCAGCCTAAAGGAGGAAAAATAGCCAGAGAAGATAAAACAATTTCATGTACCTTATTAAATTCACTTTGTATGGGTTTCTCATTGGACTACCACTTGGCAGCAGTTTGGAACACCTATCTGATGACAAGAGGGAGGAACCACTGGGTGCTAGACACATGCCTACGAGACCATGGGCTGGAGGTGAAGGATGATGCAGTAGAAGGGAAATGAGTTATGATGGAAGAGGCCAGATTTCTAGTTTGGGCTGTAACCCTATTTCACTGTGTAACCATAACCATATAACCCCTATGAGCTCTTAATCCTTTTTTTCCTAAAAGAGGGGTTGGTCTAGATGATTTCTGGGGGCTCCTTAACCTTTGATAGTCCATAAACTGTGAAAACCACACAGTGAACTCACGTATACCGTTTTCTAGCACAGCATTGTACTATAAGTCACCTTTATTACATTGAACTTTCCTACTCTGGGCCCCCAACTCTGAAATCCCGGCACTTACCCTCACTTCCAGGTTGCTTGTATGGGTTGTACTTAGGTTTTGGAGCAACTACTGGTGCAAACTTCTTGGGTGGTTGTTGTGTAGACACTGAAATGCTGGGGGTCCCAAAGGAATGGGTGGTCTCCATCCTTGCAGGAACATGGCCAAGGGGCTCACTAGTACTTTTAGGTGGCAGCCAAGATGGATGAGACATTGTTGGAATCTGCAATTAAAAAGAAACAAACTGTTTTTATGGAAACATGGAAATAGAGATGACACACTTCACTTTACTGTTATTTCAATTTAATCCATTCTTAATGAATCTTGACAAAGCTCTCTGGAAAGATGAAGGATGAAGGAAGAAAGAGGAAGGATGAAGGAAAATGGAAGGGAAAAAAAGCAGAAGAGGAGGAGGAATCAGAAGGAGAAAGAGGAGGAGGAGGAAAGTGAGGAAGAGGAGTACACACCTCCCAAACTTGAGCACCTCCCTTCCAATAGTTTACCTACGTTAGTACGAAGCACTCTTGAGGGAGTAGATATAAATAGGAAATGATTCCTAACTTGAAGGAGTTTCTGTGGGAGGGGATTGGAAAAAAGCTTTGATTTTATTAATAATCTACTGAAATAATTACTACACCAATTAAATGAGGTGATAAGCCACCCAAGTGAAGTTAAAAAATAAATAAAAAGCGTTGCAAGGAAGCCAAAATAGATAAGATCACTTCTTGCTGGGAGCAGAACTAACAAGACTTCATTGGTGAGGTGACATTCAGACTGGGCCTTGAGTGCTAAGTAGAGGCTGGGCCTGAACAATGTTAGCAAAGACACATAGGCAGGAAAGCACACAACACTTATGTCCAGTGCGACTGAAGGGGGAATAGAGAAAGTAGCTAGCAAGAGAACTAAAATGTGGGATGAAACCAAAGCATAGACATTTTGCATGCACACTTAAAGAGTTTAAATATAAGAAGTCTTCAAAAAGCTCATGAAAAGATTTGCATTATCTTTCAATTCCATTTTCCCACAAACTTTTCGAAGTGCCCTCATATAGTCTGTAGACATTAAGGAACCACCAAAACTTTATTTTGGAAACGGGCATAGCAGAGACATAGCAGGACACTTAAAATGACCCCTCTGCAGAAGCAGCTCTGCTCCCTGCCCCCAACAGGAGCTTGGAAATGGGAATGAGGGGACATTGGTTGTCACAATGCCTGGAACAATTACTGAAATCTAGTGGACATAGGACAGAATATTCAACACCTGAAATATGCAGGTCAGCTCTGCACAACAAAGAAATGCCCATCAAGAGCTATGCTGAGCTGATGCCATATTGGACCTTTAAGAAAAACTTACTTTAACTAGGAGGAAGACAACCAGCCCCGCCCAGATGTTGGTCTAATTAGACTGCACACACTATGTGAGGAAAGGAAAATGATGTCTCCTCAGTCAGGGTAAGCCAATCACCCCTCCAGACAGCCTGCTGCTAGAGATGAGCCTCACAGGCTGCCGCTGAAGAGGGTTCTCCAAGTCTGATTGCGAGAGCTCTCCAGCATGGGAAGGCCCGGAAAGCACCCTGCGCCCCTCCCAGCCCCAAATCCACCTAGTAATTTATTAATTGAACTGAATTAATTAAGAGGCCTACATGATTACCTCCAGATGTCTCTAAAGACAAAGAGCACAGGAAATGCAGGAAAATATAAAGGCTTCAGCACATGGCTAGCAACAGATAGACAGTGTGGAGGGGGAGAGTTGGAACACAGTGATGCCTGGGTATTAACATCAGTCCACACCACGGGTGAGCAGCATGGCCTTGAACAGCACCCCCTCCAGTGCCTCAGATAGCCCTACACTCTCAAAAGTAAGATTAGAAAACCCTGACCTCCTTAACCAACCAAATTTTTATGACAACCATTGGGATAATATCAAAGTGCTTTGTATACTTTAAAGTGCTTGGCAAAGTGAGGGGAAAGGAATGCCTCTATTCTCATAGAAAGTCACTGGGAGTTATATGACCACCTTGCATGAAGAAAAACAGTGGAGGTAAAGTTTTCTCAGCAGAAAAATGATGACATATAAGGAAGATTCTAAATTGGGAGTCAGACACTTATTATTAAAGCCAATGATGACACTGACTTTTCCCTCTGGTTACAGGGTCCTTCTGTTCCTTTTCCTCTCCTGTACCTAACACATACACATACACTTGCTAAATTGTCAGTTCCTTGAAAGGGCAGGGACCATGTTTCACATACTCCTAAACCACCATTAAGGCCTACCACAAAACCAATATAGAAAAACAACCAATGGATGCCTATTTTTCTCATGGTTTTTTGTTTTTGTTTTGTTTTGCTGGCCAGTATACAGTGAGAAGACTTTTTTCTTTTTTTTTAACTTTGGAAGATAGGCAGAGGAATGGAAATCATCAAGTCGAAGGTATCCCTATTCTCCAATGTTCATTGCAGCACTCTTTACAGTAGCTAAGAGGTGTTTATTCTCTCAAGGTCCATCCATGTTTTTGCAAATGGCAGTATTTCATTTGTTTTTAATATATCCAAAGGAATGGAAATCATCAAGTCGAAGGTATACTTGTTTCCCAATGTTCATTGCAGCACTCTTCACAATAGCCAAGAGCTGGAATCAGCCCAAATGTCCATCATCGGATGAGTGGATACGGAAAATGTGGTATATCTACACAATGGAATACTACTCAGCTATAAAAAAGAATGAAATACTGCCATTTGCAACAACATGGATGGACCTTGAGAGAATAATATTGAGTGAAATGAGTCAGGCACAGAAAGAGAAATATCACATGTTCTCACTTATTTGTGGGAGCTAAAAATAAATAAATAAATACACAAATAACCTGGGTGGCGGGGGGAGAAGACAGCAATTACAACTCCTTGAAGTTGACATGACAAGCATACAGAAAGGACATTGTTGGGAGGGAGGGGGGAGTGGGAGGAGGGAGGGAGGTGTCAGTAATTGGCCACAATAATCAACCACATTGTATATTGACAAAATAAAATAAAATTTAAAAAAAAAAATTGGGGAGGTAGGGGGTTATATTCCAATAAATTTTTTTTTTTAATTTTAACATTTACTTATACATATCTGTGAGGTACAGTGTGTTGTTTCAATATCTGCCTATACTGTACAACAATTCACTTAGGGTAGACAGAATAGTTTTGTACCAAGGCCATCTTTCTGGGTTAAGAAAACAACAACTTTTGTTTTGTTTTGCTTTTTTTAAATTGTGTCTTGGTCTTCACCAAATGGGGATAAAAGTAACTGTTTTGTTTTCAACATGACTAAAATGAACACGAGCAGGAAATAAGTGGGATCAAATAAAGGTTTGAAAGTTTAAATGCATTATACACATTTTAGTATAAATTTTAGGTGTACACTTTAAAAATGGGTTAATACAGTCATGGATTGCTTAACAACAGGGATACATTCTGAGAAATGCATCATTAGGTGATTTCATTGTTGCGTGAACATCTAGAGTGTACTGAAACAAACCTAGATAGTATGGCCTACTATTCGCCTAGGCTATACAGGCCTATTAGTCCTGTGCTACAAACCTATACAGCATGTCACTGTACCGAATACTGAAGGCAACTGGAACACAGTGGTATTTGTGCATCTAAACATATCTAAACACAGAAAAGGCATAGTAAAAATACAGTATTATAATTTTATGGGACCACCATTGTATATGTAGCCCGTTGTTGCAAAAAGCATCATGACCGTACTATCCTTGCAACTTTTCTGTAAATCTAAAGTTATTCCAAAATATAAACTTTAAAAAGGGGGTTAACACAGGATTCAGTGGTCTCTAAAGCAAAGATGTACATCTCCAGTGCAATTCCATGTTAATGATTAACTAGCATCTCGGCCTTTTCAGATCTACCATAGATATAAAGGAACAGGTAACTTCTGGGGCAATATTTAAAAAATGAAAACTTAAGCATCAATATGCAAATCATTGACTCCATAGTCATTTCAGTTATCCCCAGCAAAATAAATTACCCTGACAATACCCTCCCCTTGGAGCCACCTCCAGCTCCCCCTCCTGAGAGGGTCACGTTCCAGCCAGTTATCTGTTTGCAAATGACAGCATCTTCTATTGTCATTCTTCTGCATGTCAACAGTGACCCACTGACTCCATTCACTGGATTTACAATAAATTTTCACAATTCTGAATTCTGGCTCATGATGTGTTTGCCATCAATGATGTCATTTCTCTCCCTTCACTTTCTACCAAGCCTTATATTTTTATATTGGCCCAGTTCAAATGCCTCTGACTCTGTGAGCACTTTCCTAACTCCCCCCAAGAGGAGTAGCTTAATTCCTTCTCCAGGCAACTCTAGTACTTTTATTCATACTTATAACAGTGCACAGAAAAACTATTTATTCACCTCTCTGCCCAAATAAGCTGGACATTCATGGGTAGTCTTACTATACCAGGACAATGCCTAGCCAAGAAGACCTTAGGAAAATATCTTACGTAGGAATGGGTGAATGAATGAATGCTGCTTTCCCTAACGCATACTTTTCTAGAATCTCTATATCCCCCTCCTTAGCATCCACAGATATAACCATGTCTTTTTCCCTCCTTTAATTTGGTGATATAATGAATCATGTTGAAAGATATCCAGATATTGAACCATCTTTGCATTCCTGGAATAAATTCTACTCAGTCACAGTTGTAGTGTTTTGGAATACTGACAAATTAACTACACTGTTTTATTTAGAATTTTTGTACATATAATCATAACTAAGATCATTCTGTATTGCTTTGTTCTCCATTTGTTTTACTCATTATTATTAGGTTTTGATATGGGGGTTCTACTTTATTTTACACTGTTTAGATTCATTTCATAATGACATTGGAATTATCTAACCTTTAATTATCAGAATTCAGCATAAAGTCATCCAGATATGATACCTTCTTTAATAACAAATATTAATCATATTTCCAATAACTTCTATGATGATTTTAGCAGTTTTCTATTTCTTCTGAGGTCGTTTGGTAACATTTATATTTGCCTGGAAATCCATCCATTTCCTCTAAGTATGATACCTGCTCCCTTTCAATCCAACTACCGCTTAGTTACAAATGATTTCTCATTTATTATGCATCATTTAAAGACACAAGTCAGTAATTGCCCTCTATCCCCCAGTTTGAGGTATATACCTTTCATCACACTTCTACAGCACCTG